GCAGAGAGGAGGATACAGAGGATGAAGCTATTGTAGTAGATAGGTCAGTTAGGTCAGCACGCTGATGCATCTGAAGGGCAGTGTACCCCGTCCAGAACAGGTAGAGCTGGACAAGAAACACAAGAACCGCCTTTTGGGCTATGTAGCAGTAGAATGTACTGCCTACACAAAGTCGTGTGGTCGAGTACTTCGCAGCAACCCCCGCTCAAAATTTAGCAAAGCGCATGCAAGACTATCGGTGCGAGGGAACTGAAACGCACAAAGCAACCAAACGTGTTTCCTCAGTTGTAGGAATTATGTTTCATGACTTTGTCTATTTCGGCCTAATTCAGCACTTCATTTTAGTTGACAAGCACGACGTGCCTTACATTAACTGGTATGGCAAAGCGGTACGGGAAGAGGAGACAACGCTGTGGACAGCTGAACTCTCCATCTCCAATTCTGCAGTGTGTTCTTTCATCAACGAATATCAACCTTGTGAAAATGTGACTTTGTTGCTTTGAATGTTTGTTGTCTCAATAATTACTCTTCTTTATTTGTAAATACTGTAGTGCAAAGGCGGTTCAAACCTCTAAAACTTCTCCCAATTTCCCAAAACTTACAGACCAACAAAAAACTAGTCTTCTCTTAACTTCCAAAAACCCACAAATTTTAGAAAAATGGGACATTACGTAGTCTTCCATGGTTTACAAAAGAATATATGTTCACTTTGCCTAAAGCCAGGACTCTACGCTTGAAAAAGTCTTTTCTACATTGTGCTGTAAGACTCTACAATGACAGTGATAATGGCTGATATTTGAAAACCCATGTCTGCTATTTCCTGTTGTAGATTGAATGGTGTTTGTACATATTGTGTATATAGTGTGTTTCTGGCGAAAATTTATGGTGAGTTTCTTCCTTGTGTTGGAACAAGTTCGAACTCTATAACTGTCTATAACAGCTGTATTTTTCGTTGCATGACACAGGTTCCCAATGTATACCAGTTTAGGTATTTATACTATTGCGCCTGATTATTCCCAAATTTAAGACGACCGTCCTTTTTACCACGCATGAATCCCCACACTGATACATCGTACATGTATGTGACCGTATTAGACCAGGCTATATAGGCGAAGGAAGCCATCTTAAGATTAATTTTAGCATACTATTCTGTCTAGTCATGCTTTTAACTTTTTTTCTTTAAACCAAACAGTTTTTACATGTACCGGAACCAATACCTGGAAGGACAGAGGACAGCGGTACACAGAAACACTGGCACCTTTCAGCAGCACCTCGTACTGGCTCGCCCACAGCTACCTGGGTAACTTTGCAGAGTGCTACGGTGACAAGATGCCATATAAGGAAACGATAAACCCAACCTCCCATCCTCCATGACAAAGGACACCGTCTAGGAGAAGTATAGGAGCAGTCTGTCCGCACAGATGTACCAACCAATACAGAAAAGTACCTTCCTGACGATGCGGAGAGAGTACATACTACAATTTACACTGCACGATTTAATCTATTGTGAACAGGAAAGAGCGGCAGGTGTATTTAGGAAAAGCCCGTGCCTCTTTTGACGACCCTACTGCGGTCCTGTCCATCATTATTGATGGCATGGACCAAAACAAAACGGCCATCCCCCACTTTGAGCAGAAAACAAAGGTAATGCCGGTATTGCTCTTTTAAATCGTAGAGGCTCCAAGCAGTTATAAATATCATGAAGTGGGAAATTGATATCCTTACAGTAAAAAAATATCAAGCTGATCCAACAGTTGGGCTGCTTGCACTAAGCAATAGACCGCGAGTTTTCATTTCTGTCATGCAGACATCAAATATGTGCTTTGTTTAAAGTTGACTTACCGCACACATTTAGGCCTTGATATGTTACACAGGAAGATGACAAACACCTGTCTCAGAACATCAGTACACCTAGTACCTGGAGAACAACGCAGAAAGTCCGGAAACAAGGTCAAGCGGCAGCGAAACATGGTTTGGGACCTTTCATCCCCTGACACAGTATATAGAGAATACGTCTTTCCCTTTCTCTCCCCCTCACTCTTTCTCTCCAGCTACAGCTGGTCTTAGTAAACTAGATATCATAAATATAGAATTATATTTCGAGTCCTTACCCTACTCCGAGCTGCATACTCCATCCTGCAAAATGAATACAAGCGAGTTTATGTTTTCCTGTCCATCTAACAATGCTTCTTTGTGTTACAACAGGACGATGGCCTGTCTCTTAACATCAGTACACCTAGCCTGGAGGACAACGCAGAAAGAAGCAACAGCATCCCTTATGTCAGTGATGGAATGCAACCAGACTGTCTTGAAATATGATACTGCCTCCAGGCTTCAAACACCCAAGTCCTACCGATCAGTGTCAGCCGGCTCTTCAGACGTCTTGGCCGCGATGATAGACTTTTGTACCATCAACTTCCATGATGGTTCCCGAAGAGGAGGGTGCTGTATGCCATTGATTACTTCAGCAGGTACATAACACTATATCCTAGTAACATATCAGCATCATGTATTTGATAAATGAAAATGTTTAAAGGGCAGTAGCCACATGGAAAAGCTTTTTGTCACTTGACAATGTGGACTTGTGTCCTACACCACGTCTGCAATGAACACACATGGTGCCTGGGAAAGTGCGCTCAGCCCCCTCTGAAAGACATGGAGAACAGAACCACAGCCTTGCTGTTGCTGCCTCTGCACCACAGAAGACCCTGGGAGAAGTTCTACTAGACAAGTGGCACAAGTTCTTGCGGTTCAGGTATTTATAAATGCCGGGTGAGAAGTCAGGTGAGGTCATCTGACGTGTTTTTGGAGCTCTCCAGAATTTGCGTTCTGGACACATGAAATAGTCAGACTCGGTTTACTGTTTACGACTCAGCTGAAGGCATGAAGGAAGCGGTAATGTTGGTCGTGGATGACATCCGTGCTCGTGTGAATAAGGTACTGTCTGCTGCGGACATCCATGTTTACAGCGGGGACTGCGATGGATCTCCAGAAGGGGCGCTGCAAGCTTTCCGTGTCCCGGATGTACCTCTAACCTCCCACTACATTTATTCATTTCTATTGTAATAGTTTGTTTTATAGTTTTGATGATTGCGAAACCTGCAACGCAGATAAATAACGTCTGGGATGGTAGTGATGACGACGCGAGTGTTAACATTTAGATAAGAATATTAAGATACAAGTCTCCACTGACCTAAGCATATGGGGTGACACTCTCAGAATTAAGGAAAGGTTCAGAACATGGTGGGAAAACTACTTGCACAATAAAACAAAACGAAACAAACCAACCTCACTGCCCTTATCACAGCTAGGTACCCCCCCGAGAGGCTGTGGGAGCTAGCTGGCAAGGTTGCCGCTCTCCCGTCTGTCAAAAGGGTCATCCTAGTCCTACCCCTTTGGCATGTGTCTTTGCAACCTAACAGGCCCCGTTTTAATGATGAAATTCGTGTTTTTTTTTCGAAACATCTGAAGACCCTCTGCAGGTCAACCCCCCAGATTACGACTTGGCGGCATGATCGCCTATTCCGTAACGTTAAGGAGTATCATGGACTCAGGTGCAGACCGAAAATGGCGAGATGCCTCCCTTGGTTCTCATAGTTTAGAACAGCCCATAGTGACAAATGTCTCTCATCAATTTGATTCCTTTTCATTAAATGTTTATTCTAACAACAATAGACTCTTTTCCTCACATGGCAATAGATAGAGCCCCCGCCGCACGTCGCTGTGTTTTGGCACTCCTTATATAAAGACCATCCGTCTGCTGGCCCGCATTTAGCGGGCTCTGGTGGCTAAAATTGTACACAAATTGTCTCTGTAGTAAGTTATCCGCCCCACGTATGTAAAAAAATCTGAAAATGACAGCGCCAAAGATTTGCGCTGCGACACCATTTGTTTACTTATGATTACAGAAGCTCTCAGTTTCCCTGCTCTGTTCATCTATGAATATGATTGTATTCTGCCGGTTTGTGAATTAAACATATGTTCTGCCAAAACATGATTCTTGGTCGTTCCATTTTCTGTCATGATTTGAAGTCTGGCTTCGAAGTGAGAAAAGACTTTGCCGCAGGACTCATTATTATTGTTTCCTTGTCGTGTTTTCATCCGAGTCACTAAAACGTTACCTAGACCGTTGCTTCAGGATTGTGACAGGGAAGATAAGGAGTGGGGAAATTGACATGACCATTCTTCATAGCTGTGCGTCACACATAATGAAGAACGCCAAAAGCAACGTGAGTTAACAGTATTGTATTGTTTTCTTTTTATAAAGCTTTTACGTAGATTATTACTTAAAAAAGGTTTAAATGATACTGTACCAAAGAGATTTATGATTTAAATTGCAACTTAAAACTGGAAAAGATATCAATGTTTATAATACGCCTATGAAAACTGTTTTTACTACATTTCATTTTCCTATTTCAGCTACAAGTCGAACTTCAAGCTGGGGATGTAGCTTATGGTCCTGTTAGTAAACACCGCAAACCTGCGAGATCTTGATCACATTATCAAAAACATCTGCATTCTGAAGTGCTAACGGGATTTCAGAATGTGCTGCTGTATTTTTCGATGACGTAACTGTGCGAAAAACACGATAGAAGATCTACCTCTACTTGTCTGAGCCGATGAACCCATGCTGGAATCGTCAAGATGGCAGGATCTGTGGCCATGTTCAGTACTTAAGAAATGGCCTTACATCGATGTCGTGCTCTTCGATTTCCGAACACTACTTTCGTTTAATAAATATTGCAGAACGCTATCATTGCGCAAGGTCACGGTCCTCCATGCCTACACTAGATCCAGCGTCTTTTCTGTGCCTACCATTATATATACCATGATATTCACTGACTCTTCTCAACATGGAAATTAGAAACAACACTTCGTGACAGCGCACTAAATCCGACACAGCCTGGTGACAGTCAAACATTGTGAGGACAAATATTTTGGAAAGACGCATCAATGAACCATTTGGATAACGTCAATCATAGTGCCCTTCAAATTTACAAAGAGTAAACCTGAAAATTGATTTAAGCATTAACATCCAGCAAACCCATCTAACTAAGCTGAGCAAGCCCCCACCGAGCCACAGGCTCAGTCCCCGAGGTCTGGGTTTCCAAGAGGCTTGACAGCTTCTACAGACTAGCTGACTAACACACCCTGAGTAAGCTGGATGTTCTGCCATTTCCAGTCAGTGTTTGCCATTTTGTCCCTTTTGTTATCATCAAGGACAGATTGTGTTTTCCCAGTGTTCCTTGTATGGATGCTGAGATGCTTTATCCTGATGAAGACTTAGATCACCAGACACGCCCGTCTGGTCACAATCCCCTCTGGCTTGACCTGTACAAAAACATCAACAAACCAGTATGTATATGAAAAAAATAATTCAACATGTCAAAGAAAGTATCGTTAGTACTTCAATGGCATAAAATATTACATCAATAATACTTCAACATGTGCATGATTATACCCAAATGTCCACAAACCAATACGTTCTGATAAAAATTTAGTCAACTCGTATCTGACATCTCAAAAAAAACTGTTGAAAAAACTTAAGTGGAAGCAGTTGGTATAAAAATCCCTACTGGCCCGTTATGCTAAAAGAATATACTGAATAGGCAGCAGATACCAGACTGAATTATGTCCTTTACAGTTCTCAAATTTATGCTAACGACGAAATAAGCACTGGAGTGACGGCTAGCGTATTCCAATGAACAATTCTCTGTCTGTGCATCTCAGCTATTTGTGCGCAATGCAGTATAAATAAATCAGTAAACGTAATGAACCAAAATGCAACAAACTGGCGTGTACACGCACTAAAATAACCCAAAAGTATACATTGTAGTTTTAGTACAGAAAGCAACGAAGGCTACTTTGCAGGCATTAGAGCGAGGATTTCGCAGTACATGTGTTTACGTTAGCAAAGCCAGATTTTTTTTCTATTTTTTGGCCGAGTTTCATGGGCTGAACGCCGTGAGCGACCCTCGTGAAAAGAATGCGCCCTTACCAGTGACACCTACAAACCCTAATGCACACCGAAACAGCTTTTCTAGGGGAAAATTGCATGTTTTCTGGGGAAATTCTCAGACAAGAGATCGACGAACCTTACCTCACAATGGCCGCCCTGCACTGACGCCTCACTCTGGACGCCAGCCGACCACAGCATGGTAATTATATCCATCCGCTCAGATGTCTGGAGGGTCGAAAAACTACATTAAAGGGCAAAAGAAGAGTCTACATCGCCGCGACTTGGGGTTTTTCTACCAGTATGTGTTAGTTACAAACTTATTTAACTACATATTTCGCATACCGTCACTGAAGACAAGTACTTTCTGTCTCGCACTACTTTATGGCGGCGAATTGATACATTCTGTCTGGAGGGGGATATTGGGTGGGGATGGGTAAAAGTCGTGAGGCTGCTTTAGGGTTTTACAAAACGCCGTTCTACACAGCATTGGCGAGCAAATGTAAGTTTGGCCATAAATCTACGTGGTCATGAAAGTTGGTATGTCGAGAAATCTACTCTTCAAATTCACTTCTTTACATTTTCGTCTTTTTGACTTGATTTTGGCATTCTACGGCTTTGGTATCATTTTCAAAAACAATTCCTCCATTTTCATGGAGGTAACAACACTTTCCTATACGCGTATAACGCTTTTGACGCTCAGGACGACATCTTTCCAATGCCCCACATGCGGTACAGAACCTCAAGTCATCATCATGGATGGTATTATACTGGGCTTGAAAAAAGACCTCATACCGGAGCTGCAGAATGACGTCCAACATTCAGATGTAGATGTACATGTATTCTTTTGTGAGAAAGAGAACAATGAACCTTCAATTTTGCAATTCTTAAAAACCACATACATGTGCATCATGATGATATGCCGACGCAAGTATGGAAGAACTGCATCATAATGACACGACATAAAGACAGCAGGTCGGCAGTGGTATGAACATGGAACTTTTGTAACATTGTATAAAACCTCACTGGCCAATGCCTTAGTGCCTGTACCTGAATACTTTTGACCAAAAACACAGGATCAAACAGCATGGAAAAGTGGCTTCTAGTGTAAAAGCTAATATCGAGCAACAATGACAGGAGCAAAACAATGGTGTCATAATGCATCTGGGCACAAAAGAGTCTGATTCCAAATATGATGAGGCTGGCGATAGGCTACGAAACCACGGAAAGTGCAAAGAAGAGGACAAGAGACAGGTTGGACAAGGAAGCTGAAGGAAGATGTCGCAAGAAGCGCAGGGTGGGGAAATCAACAGAGTGGGGTACCTGGGACTGGGAGTCAATAAGACAAGAAGTAACATCATGGCCGGATGGAAAAGAAGTAAGCTGGAGGGCGTATGCGCTGGAGAAAGGGGTCCATAACAAGAAGGGGGAGCCGGCCAAGAATGGAGGCCAAATGATCCAAGACTGGCTTATCCAAGAGGGAATAAACAACCACAGGTTCAAGACAGTTGGAACGTCAAGACCCCAAGGTCGCGCCGCCATAAGAAACGGATCCCCACCCCACGGTCTGCAAAAGAAATGAGAAGAAGCCTGGGGCAAATGGTCAAAGGTGGGGAGAATGGTCAAAGATGGCCATGGGGAGAAAGAAAGAAAGAGAGAGGGAGAGAGAGAGAGAGAGAAAGAGCAGACAGATGTCTGTAATATGTTCTGAATATTTGTAAAAAAAAAAATATATAAAACTCATAAATGCAATGAGCCGCAGAGGGCCCAAGCCGAGAGGGTGGAGCAGCTTGCCGCCGCTGACAAAGGGGGTTNAAACCTTGATGATGGCTGGCAATTCGCTAGATGTTCAAGAGTGAGCATGCAGTAAAGTTGTGGCGC